ATGCATGTCAGCAGATGGTATTGGTCGCCTTCATGTCATCGATGGGACACTGAATGCCAGAAAATACATTGACACTATTCTAGAACCAAAACTTCTACCTTCCATCACAGATCTCTTTCCCAACAATGCTTCGTTTATTTTTCAGCAGGATTCTGCTCCTTGCCACACGGCCAAAATATCGAAAGAGTGGTTTCGTACAAAGAGCATTAAATTGTTGTCATGGCCAGAAAACAGTCCTGACCTCAATCCTATTGAAAATTTGTGGCACCTTTTGAAAACTCTTGTCCGAATGAGGTGCCCATCAAATAAAAGGGAACTAATTGAGGCTATAATTGTTTCCTGGCATCATGTAATAACGAAAGAAGAGCTTAAAACTCTTGTCAGCTCAATGAAACGTCGATGTGAAGCTGTAATAAAAAATAAAGGGTACCCTACTAAGTACTGATAACTCTCTGCAATCATCACTATCTAATGTATATCGATAACTATTATCGTTTAAGTTTTTTTGTATTACAATTAATGGAATTTTGTGTTTTGTATTGAATTCAGTAATAAATTCTCTTTAAAATGATATATACAAGTTTGCATTTTGTGACACGTAACGTTTTCTATAAGCATACAAAGTTCAAAAACATAAAAATTTCCAAAAGTGTCCAGAATTTTGGCCACCACTGTAAATGGGTGTAGTTGAACATAATAACAGAACTCTCATTGAGTAAGCATGATCAGTGTTAGTGGATGCTCACCTTGGCTGGAGCAATGAAAACTGCAAATCACTTAAAAACAAGATAGGACTAAAATGAGGACCTGAACGATATAGGACTAAAGAGTCCATTAGCCTAAGTCAAAGTCAGTATGCAGAGTGTATACTTTACAAATATAATATTCATGAATTTCATGGTGTAAAAATGCCACTAGACCAAAATCAAGTGTTGTCTAAGCTTCAATTACCAACTAGTAAGAAACAAAAATTACTGGTTCCTTATCAGGCTGCCACTGGGAGTCTTCTTTATGCAGCTCAAGCAACTGGCCAGTATGCCGTGAATTTGCTTACTCAATTCTCTAATAATTCTGCAAGGTTTCAATAGAATATTGTCAAGCACATTATGCAATATCTTCGAGCTTCTACAAATGCTACATAGTTCTTTTAAAAGGAGTATCCTTTTGGCATCCTTGGTTAGAGCGACTCAAACTATGGATGTGATGTTGGAGACTGGAGATCAATCATTGAATACATTTTCCTCATCCGAGGTAGTGCAGCATCATGGTGTAGTAAGTGTCAAACCAACCATTGCTACTAGTACAACAGAAGCTGAATATATGGCTCTTTCTGCAGCTACTAAAGAAGCCATATAGCTCAACAAAATTGCTACAGAACTTTGACTTACTACTGCAAAACCAGTTTTATTATACTGTGATGACAACAGTGGAATTAATGTCAACAAAAAGAGCGTGTATCATGGCAGATCGAAACATATCAATACACAGCACCATTCTGTGAGAGAATCAGAGAAACCTAAGCATATTGACATACAGAATATGACCACTAATAATATGATTGCAGTTTTTTTTAAAGAAACTGGGAACAGTGCAAAACATGAAATATGTGCTAGGACAATGGGTTTTAAAATGTAGACTTGTAGCAATTTACATTTATTTTAAATAACCAATTTTATTTAATTTGTTATTCTTTCCTATAAGCCTTCATTCCCCTAACTGTCAATGGCAGAATATTTAAATTTGGTAGCACACATGAAGGAATGCAAATTTTACCTTGAAGAAAGAGTTTAAAAACCGACGTTCAGTAGGAAAGAGGGAGAAAGAGTTAAGCAATTGCTATCACACCTGCTGCTTAAGTGTCTGCTTCTAAAGTTATTGCTGGTTCGCATGGCTTAATTGCATTTACTTGCTGCCACTAGTTTTCGAAAGGAGTTTAAGTAATAGGAATTATACTGAGCCCTGTAGTTTAGTTCGACGACTAATACATAAATTCAAATCTTTGAAATCAATTTCAGTTACTGTCCAAGCAGAGGCATAGTTTGTTAGCATCCAGTTGATGCATTGTAAATTTTCAAGAGCTAATAAAGGGTACTTTTAACCCTTCTTCTGTGCAGTTACTACTCTAACAGTTCTCTCACAAGAGTTAATTAATTGGACTCTACAGAGTAATTGATTAATTTTTTGCTTGTTCGTGTGTTAATGAAAATTTTACTGTGCTTAATCAGGATGATACTTGATATTTAAGCCTTAAGTGGGAGTACAGTAGAATTCCAGATATCCGCAAAGCTTGGGACCAGAGGTTGTGCGGATTTTAGGATTTTAGGACAGAAAAGATAAATCATAATATTCAGACTAAAAATGCAGAATAAATAAGGTGTATTAGATACATTTAATTAAATTATTATATACATTATTGCAATAACTTATTATATGCATTAAATTATTATTACATACATAAATTGATCATAATATTCATTGTATTATATATACACAGCATCGAGGTTTGCCGATTTCGCCTCATGCAAAGATTTCTGGTTTCGGATTCCGGTGTTAGAATCACTGTTGCTGTAAAATTTCAACAGCTTTTCTTTATTTTTCCGTATATCATACAAAATTGTATCGCAATTCCATACGATTCTGCTATAAACTGAGGAGTAGCATCTGTCTCCATCTTTTGCAGAATTTGCATTTTTTGCATTATAGTCAATGCAACGTTGCAAACAGTAAAATCATGAGTGCGTTTCTAATCTGTAACTGTATTAAAAAGGGCTGAAATTTAAAATATTCTTAATTTATCCACAAATATCCAGATAAAAAAAAGGCAGCACTAAATAATCTCGTGAAATAACAAACCTCAGAAAATACAATGTGAATCGTGAACTTGAAAGAAGAATTGAGCGAATCGTCCGCTTTCTTACCTCGATGCAGATTAGAGGGGGAAAACTTTTGTCATGATGTCAATAATTTGGTATTTCCATTATGACTCGTTATGATTCGGTAAGTTATTTTTTTTTTGATATTTCATACTGAATGTTGCGGTTTCCGGAACCTATAAACTGAATGTTTATATTTTGAGAGGCAATGCGGATTTCAGGTATTTGACTGAGTAAATATTAGCTTTAAATATGTTTTTAGCCCATAGATGGCATCATTGATATATACTTTTGCACTACTCGTAAGTATCCAATAAAACTTCATTTCTGCTCCAAACTCCCATCAGGTATGTCATGTCTTTATTTATTCTCATGCATCCTGAAGTAATTGTCTCTGCTATAGTGAATATGCTTATAAATCAAGTACAATATTTTCCAACTAATAATTATTCTGAAGAGGCATAATAATAATAATTTATCAAAATATTAAAAATAAAAATTGATACTTGCCGTTTCATGCGTGAAAGTGATTTATGTGCTCATATATATGAATATTGAAGAGGCATAATAATAATTTGTTTACAAGACTTTTAGAAATAAAAATTCACATTCTTTTCTGGCTCTTAGTGATTTATGCACAAATGTCTATGAATAGTACTAGATCAAATAACAGGTCAAACAATGTTAATTTAATAACAATGGGGAAAACACATATATAGTGAAAAAACGGTTTGACATAAAAAATTCCATTAATAATTGATGGAACAATTACATGCTTGATATTTTTTCAGCATCATTAAACAAATGCGACAAAATAATAATAATGAATCAAAATTTAGTCATCAAAGTGAACAACAACTTAATACTTAAGCTAGACTTTTTTTTTCTGCAGCAAAGGATTTATGATATCAAGGATTTAATTGTTCAAATCAGCAGTGCATAACATATGCAGTTCCTATAGAAACTGCATAGCAGAGTTAAAAACGGCATGATTTGAGAACTTAAAAATCATTTAAAAATGCAGAAGATATCCAGAAACTGTGTCCTGACCAAATATGACATTCTAACTTCTTATTTAGTTTTAAAAGAGTGTCATATTTAACATACAGAACTTTAGTAAGAAACAAAATAAAGTACAAAGTTTTTAATCCGGACTCGTCGGGACTTCGGCGATTCCGGATTATAGATTATCAATTTAAATCTGGTAAGATGGCATGCAGAAATTATAAAATTAAAAATATGAAACCGTAATTTATGAAATAAAGAGTAATTATGATATCAAAGGGTATTAGGGTATATTAGGGTATCAAAATTTACACACACACACACAAAAAAAAAAGGCTTAATATTTATTTGTTTACTTTATTAAACATTTCTTTTAATGTAAGTTGTTTAAGTTGCTTCATTTTATGTGTTAATACTTTCTCTTTAATTCTATAAACAGACATAATTTCTTGTTCAGTTGCAAAGTTCCACTGTTGAAATCCTGTAATTGCTGTGCCGAGAATACCAATTAACTTGTCAATCGAAATTTTTTCGTTTTCACTAACCTCTCTGTCACTTTCTTCATGCCTTTATCCATTTTTTGCAGCAATTCCACTTTTTGTTTGACGGACATTGAAACATGCTTTCGCTTTGTAGATCATTTGGCAGCTCCAGAATTGGAAACTCTTTTTAACATAATCAAAAGTTCAAGCTTACTTTTTATAAAATTGCTCTAACAGTCTGCAAAAAATAATAAGCCGGATCCAATTAGAACAACACAATCTGCAACATTAACTGAAATAGATAATTAGATAATTTTAGCCTAGCTTATATCGTCTGTTATACATTAAACGTGCATGTGTAAACGTATTATGCGCATGAGTAAATGCATACGTGCATGCGCAGAAAGTTTGTAGCTTTGAGGTCTGGATTATAGATAATTCCGGATTATGGATGTCCGGATACTGTATATCATGTTTTGTATTTCGAAGCATCATGAAAGCTTTTTGAACCCAATAATGGACAAATACACAAAAATCTTACACAGCTGCATTTCCAGTCCTCTCATTAATTCAATAATCTACTGTCTAAAGAGACATTAAGACAATAACTGAAATTCTGATTAAAATAAAACTGCATTACCTCCTTAAGAACTCACTAAATTCATCTCTTTTAATGAGTTTTGATGTAACAACTTGAAAATTTCGTAAAAGATGATATATTTCTTCAGTCAAAGCACCATATAGGCAACGTTCACCATCAAATGTCTCTGAATCACAACAAGCCCCTTTACAACAGAATACAGACAGATATTAATTTACAGTCACAGATGTACATGAACAAAATATAAAGCAAATGTTACAGCTTTAAACTGCTTAACAGCATTTCTACCATGCTTTAAAACAGAGTAGGTCGGTAGTGACCTCTTGGGGGTTGATGAACTTTTAAAAGGGGTCAGTGATTATCATGGGGAGGATAGATAAAATATCCACTGGAAACTGATCAGCGTAATCAACTTCCCTGATTACCAAAAAAGTATCATTAAAACTGATAATTAATAGTTAATTGATATAAACTTATATCATACAAAGTCAAGTCTTATTGAAAACACATGCACTGCTATGCTAAGTTTGCGAAATCTAAAAGTCAGTGAGAGAAATAGTTCAAAATGAAAATTATTACCAAACCAACATAATTGACGTTACCCTTTTCTTAGCTAATGCGAGAAGGCTTTAGTCAAGTCAATAATTTACTATGGCAAACAAGAAAGGTTGAATATTTTTGAACAAGGGGATTTAAGAATTAAATTAAGCAAATTTATGCCAATATTAAAAGAAATGTATCAATTCATCAAGCACAGCCACGTCACATTAATTAAAATCAAATTTTTTGTGCAATCAGAATTTGTGCATTTGTTTCTGATATTTGTAAAATTAAAAATAATAATACGAAAATAATAAAGCATAAAAATCTAGTAAACCATATTTTTCCCCAGACTTTTGTTCATATTTTTACACTAATTTTTAAAGTTATTTATATGCCACTATTTGTATTATAATTATGTTATATACATTGCGTTAGAGAGAAAAATTTACAGGGGTCAATGAAAAAAAATTCTCTTAAAAAGGGTTGATAATCCCTGTTTAAAACCTTATTAGAAAAAGTGTTAGATCTTTTCAATTTAGGACAACTTTTTTTTTTTTTACTTACTTATAAATTTTCAAGTAAACCATTTTTGACAAACCAAATAATGCAGCTTAGTGCCATTAATGCATTAGCATAACTTCACAACACATTCATAAGACCTTCATCTTTGCTTTATGTAAACTAGAGTAATCATGATAAGACAGTTTAGTTTTTATAAAGTAGGATATAAGTCAACTGCTATATAGTCATTAATATAAATATTTTTAAATACATAAATAAATATACAGACATCAATCTTTCAAACTAAATCTTTTTAATGTACATATGTTTCAAAACTCTCTTGGTACTTACATATTACCACTTTTATTCAATTTTGCAATATTTTAAAGAAGGAAAATAATGACTTATAATTGTAAAACATTATTTATTACATACATACATATTTTACCTTTTAATTAGATACTGATCTCAATAACCAATTGGCAATCCTTCTTACAAGTTTTTTTTTTTTTTTTTTCTGGTGCACATTTTGTGCCAATCTCTGAGAAGAGATTCAAAACAACTGTTCTCTTCAGAGATTTTACACCAAAATTCTGTTCCTGCAAAACTTTTATCACAATTCTTTTTACTGATCCCAAAAATGTATATTTTAAAACTGAGTTTAAGAAAAACTGTATCCAGATTTTTCTATATAAACTGCTCAAGCTTGAATATAGCAAAAACAAAGCTTGCAAAGAGAGTATGTTACTTGTTAAAACTTAAGATTTGTTATGTGCATGGTTGGTTGCCAGAGTTTGATACTTTCTAAAAATTTGGCAACTTCTATCATAATGGTTGCATTAATATGTATGTACCAAATTCTTAATACAATGCTTTTGAAATTCTTATTATTCACACATTGAGCTCACAAAAAGACATCAAATAAAAATGGACATGCTAAAAATAATAAAAAAAAGTCTCAACATGTATTTGTTAATTATCTAAATAAAAAGCAATCTTCAAACTTCCACCAGAAATACTAGTCCAAATTTCGTGGGATATTCACAAACTTTCATGATTATTCAGAAAATATTTACTAAATGTAAAAAACACAAGATCTTTTTCATGAGTCAAGCTATGGCAAACAATTTTTTCTAGGAAAGATGCGTGCAGCAACTTCTTATGAAAAAATATACTTGTGTTATCAGCTTATTTTGACTGCGGTAAAAATTTTCTAAACATATGAAATACATATATCTCTTGGGCTAAATTATTTCTAAATAAAGAACAAAGCAGAATTGTACACTTTAAAATTTTTTATTGCCAATGTACCCACTTTGAAAGCAAGAACATTGTTGTAAGAGAAAGTAACAATATGTTTACATTAACTATGGCCAACAAGCAACACTGGCTCATATATTTTTCTGAAGAAAAACATTGTTTGGCACATTCTGTCCAGTACTAGAGAAAATCTAAAATATGTTTCTTAGGTTAGTTATTTCAAGTACCAAGACACTAAAAAAAGATGACCCACTTAAAAAGAACCTTCCATTGAGAGCTCTTAGCTTGAAAATAAAAACTCTGTAACAAAAGATGAGAAAAACATATTAATTTAAAAATAGCCAATAAGCAAAAATATCTGCTAGATATACACCATACTTTTAGAACCTTGAAATGTTATTTTTCAGTAGAAAATTGGTTACCTGTGGTTAGCTAAGGTAAGTTTCAAGCTAACTTCAGCAGCAATACCAGTATCAATTATTTCAGCTTCTGTGAAGTAATCATGGAGACTTGTTCCATGAAGTAATATATTTTTTTTAACATCTTTAGTAAATACTGTGTAACTGATCAGAATTTTGTACATATTTGGAAAAGCATATTTAGTTTCCCACATTTTATTTTATACAATAACATATTGTTATATTAATCACTGTTGTCATTCACTTAAAAATACTACTGTTACCACTAACTTTGTAATATTACATTATAATTATGTGAAAATACTTTACATAATAGAGAAAGAACTAGAACACTGAACATTAATTACTGTTGTCATTCACTTAGAAATACTACTGTTGTCATTCACTTTGAAATACTACTGTTACCACTCACTTTGTAATACTACATGCATAAAAATTACCCGTCAACACCTTCTCGTAATTTTTATTTTCTTTCCTAAATTAAAAACGTTAAATCAAGTTTACACTCTCATGCTTTTAGTTAACATCATCTTAGTCAGGGAAAAATATTTACTACTTGATTTAATAAAGTTTTTAATGCACTTAAATTTACTTAATGGTTTCATAAACATCTGCTATGTTACTGTCAAAAGTTATAAAAACTAATTTAATCTTACCTACCTTTAACTTTTTCTGACCAAAAATAATACCTTACTTCAGTATATCTGCTTCTATTAAAAACTACACTCTTAATCAATTTAACTACTCTTTGATTATCAATATTCAAATTAGTTATACCAGTCTTCCTGGTTATTTATTCCCAAAACATTTTTAGATACAAAGTTTTTAGTTACATCTACTGTAACTGTGTCATTAACTTCTGTAGTCAATACAGCAACTACTGTTTGCTTCCTTGTATTTCAACTCCCAGGATTTCCTTCATACAGAATAATATATCCAGTACTTCTTTTGTACGTTTCTTTATCATATGCATAATCTGCATCACAGAAAACTTCTAATTTTTCTATTGAAGTAGAACAGTTGTCTGGACTTATACAATGAAGATTCAAATTTACACTACCTTTGAGGTGTCTAAGCGTTATTTTTACATTTTCAATACCTTTCAATGTATTCCAAGATGGAAGATTAAAGGCTACACCTGCTTCTGGTCTGATAAATTTAAAACGATGAAAGATAAATGAAATAGGCTAAGAAGAAAAGCGGAATTAAATGATTCATCTAACGTTCAGGTTAGACAAAAACAAGTTACTTTGTTTAAGATGACTGTTCTCTCAGAGAAAAGAACATAATTTGATTTAAATTTTAATTTTTGGCCAAGAGTCCTGTTGAATTTTTCAGCATTTCAGTCCAAAAGTCTTTTTGTTTGAGAGTTCACATAATCATAATTCTTCAGGGAAGGTTCTTGTTATCACAGAATATCACAAAATAAACTTTTACATAATCATTACTTATAATTTCCATACTCATAAATTATATTTTAACACCATATAACAGGAGTAACATTTTCAGAAATTATGATTTCATCGTTATTATCTTTCATTTACAATTCCTTTATTTTACCATACTAGAAGGCCTCGCAATACTTCTAAACAAACATATCCATCAATAGGGGCTGTCCTCTTGAGCTAACCAGTGTGTTCTCTGCACTGGAGGCCCAGGGTGCCTAGGCAGTTACTTGAAAAGGCCTCTGTTCCTTGCATAAGGTAACTGGCCTTTGAGAACTGCACTAATACATTCCACAATAAAAAAATAATAATAAAAAAAGAACACACTCTAAAATGAGAGCCTCCAACATTATCTTACATGAAAAACGTAAAAGGAACAACTGTACAGAGGTAATTACAGGCCCAGTACTCCCTCAACATACTCTATACTTAATACACAATCACCCATAAATTTTAACATGCATTTACCATAATGTTATATTACTTATTTGTACTAATTTCACTTATTTTTTACATCTACTTTATTTTTAGAATTATAAAATTCTTTCAACAAAATTTCAAAAATATAAAAACTTATCTTAATAGCCTTCCCTACAAATAATTAAAAATCTAAGAATTCTTTACTTACTTTACTAAATTATTAGAATTCAAATTTCTAATATTATTAAATTATATTTTTTCATATCACAGTGTTACATTTTTAATGTCCAATTTATTAAGAAAAACTAAATATCAGTTCCCAATGTTGATTCAATTATGAAAAAGCAGGAATGAAAATAAATTTCTGGCACCTACTTCAATTGTAAACTTAATCCTATAACTGCAAAAGAAAATCCTAATTTATTCGCATATAGCCAGATGAAGATACGCAGTTCGATGACCTTGAAAGTACTGGAATGATTTAAAATGTTAGCGCTCAGAAAACATTCGTCATTTTACTGTAGACAAATGCTGAATTAATTTTGAAAGGCTGGCACTGGATTTCATTTTTAAGCACTCGCAGAAAATCTATTAGT